TCTAAGCTGCCATGGTGTGATTGTGATTTAACTTTTATCTCCCTCTCATATATATATACATACACACACACACACACACACACACACACACACACACACATACATATATATAAAGAGAGAGTTTTAATGTGTATGTGTATATATATATGTATGTGTATATATATGTGTGTGTGTATATATATATAGCAGAATCGTAATGTCAGACTTTAAAAAAATTAGAATCAGTTTTACATGGCATGCACAGAACACAATGCACTCTTCTTATTTTTGAAAATGTAATATATGGGCTTACTTTTTCCATTCTAATTTTAAAAAGTTATTTGCCAATTATCTGTTGGTTTTAGACCACATAGGAAATTCAAAAGAACACAGCTCACAGCATTTCAACTCTAAAGCAAATGCCATTATAAAATTAAATGTTCCCATGTACTGTTCAATAGGTATTTGGACTTACCCAGAAGAGAGATAACCTTTTAAACTGTTCTTATACCACTATACTAAATCATACAACATTTCTATAAATAATAAAAACTTAATATATCATCAAATAAAAATGAGCTAATTAAAAATTGCTGGTGGGATGAAGTAATGTTATTAAAGCTTCTCTTAATAAAATTCCCTGAGTTATTTTATTACTTACAATGTCATTAAATGCTGAATGTCTTTTTGTTAGATCTTGCACCTGAGGTAATTTGAGAAAGGGCACAGATCATTAATAATACAAACAAACATAAATTTCCTCTTAGGGTTTCTTCATCGATATTGTGATATATTTAACATTTAACACAAATATTCTAAATGCTGGAGATAGATAGGAAAAGTTCAAACTAGACTCATCCTTGAACAGATTAAATGCACAGAGCCGCAATATACTCTGATAGTATACTAGAAGAAATGGCTGACTTGAGCTAAACTAGTAAAGTCAAAGGAAAACTATAGCCATAAAACTCAGTTTAATGTAACTAAGTCTTAAATGAATAATTAAATTGTTTCTATTTTAGAAGACTATTCTAGGGGACCAGCAGTTAGCGTAATGGCTATGTCGCTGAACTCCCATGTAGTCGACTGCAGTTCGAGTCTCAGACCCGGTGGCTTAAACTCAAGCCGGGCATGTGTGCGTGCATGCCCAAGATCCTGAGAAGAGAATGGAGGAGAAGGGATTGTGGCGTGGCCATCCCCCCTGGGGGATGATTTCTCACTTTCTGTCTCTCTGTCTCTCTCTGTCTTTCTGGAGAGAGCACACATCCTATAGCAAAAATAAATAAATAAATAAATAAATAAATAAATAAATAAAAAGACTCTTCTAGAATAATAAGGACAAAATATCTTAGTTAAGCTGGATCTATATAGAGTTATGGTCCATTCTTAAAGAGTAAAAAAGTTATAGCATTCTAAACAATGTTAAATCTGTAAGCATAATAAAAAAGGAAGGGGCCAGCACATGGCTGAGGCACTGAACTCCCACATGGCTGACTATGGTTCAAGCCCTGGATCTGGTGGCTTGCTTTCTCACTTTCCCTATCTGTCTCTCTCTGTCTCTCTCTGGTGAATTGAAAATAATAATAAATAAAATTAAATAAATCATTCTTTAAAAAATAAAATAAAAGAGGAAATGTTATCTTTTTGGAGGAAAAGATTTTAAGTAGTTAACCCATGATTCTATAGATATTATGTTTGATATTACTTTTGCCTGTCAATTATAATTCACAGTGAAATAGGAATATTGATGTCTAAAGTAGGGAAACTAGACATGAGTCAAAAAGTACTAGAAAGAACTAGTCAGTCCAAGGTTCAAAGAAAAACCTTTAGGAACCAGCTGGTGGCATGATGGCTAGAACAGCTGTATTCCACAAGGCTGACTGTGCAATTCAAGTCTTTGAGTTGGTGGCTTTAGAGACAACACAGGGCATGTGTGCATATGTGCACAGGATAGTGAGAGAAGAGAGTAGAAGAGAAGAGATTGTGGTATGGCCATCCTCTGTGCGAGATGCTTTCTCTCTTTTCTTCTCTCTCTGTCTCTTTCTGACAAGTACATGTACTATTTTGAAAAATTTTTTTTAAAAAAAAGAAAAATCTTTTTGAATGTTTAGAATCATTCATTTCCTTAGGAGGAAACAAACATAAAAATCACTAACATTTATTTACTATTTATCTTTAGCTGTCTACAGTATATAGTCATCAAAACCAAGATTCAATTGAGCTCATACAAGTTTTCAGACTACTACACATGATAAAATCTTACACATCTCTGCCATGACAAATATTCTTTTCTTTCCTTTCTCTCCTTCCTCTTTACAAGCTTTGCGTTTCTCAGAAAAGGAAGCTCAGTCTAACTTCATTCAAGATTAAATCCACAAATGCAAAATCTTAAATAAGTAAAAATGTTCTCTAACATATATAAAATGTGTTCTGCAAACTTTCATAGCATGACTTTTAAATTTTTGAAAAACCTGATGCTCTGAACTTCCTATTTAGTATACATGCTCATTTCCATGGTAAATATTATGTATAGAGTTCAGATGTTTCCCTCACAGGACAAAGTAGAGGTTTGACATTGCAGATTATTACACAGAAACCAATTTAAAAAAAAAAAACTTGATATGTGAAACAACTGCTGCAGAAATTAAACATAAAACTGTTTGCATTTTTATGAAGCTTACAATTTAA